TTAACTGCCAACGGAAAACACCAACCTGGCAATAGAGAACTGGGTCTGTATCTGTAGGATAGAGCAAGATCTGTTTAGTCTTCCACAGTGGGCCCACCTTTCTGCTTGCTTTTGTAAAATTGCTTTGATACTACAGGTGGGAAAACATTATAAAAATCTTTTCTTTGAAACTAGCAAAATACTGAGTCTTCGTAGCATATTCTGAGGCAGCAAGACTAATTTTGAGAGAATCTATTTGTCATCATAGCTGGTGTCTCCTGATATATCACAGAATCACAGAACGGTTTGGGTTGGAAGGGACCTTAAAGATCATCTAGTTCCAATCCCCCTGCCATGGGCAGGGACACCTTCCACTAGACCAGGTTGCTCCAAGCCTCATCCAGCCTGGCCTTGGACACTCCCAGGGATGGGGCATCCACAGCTTCTCGGGGCAACCTGTCCCAGTGCTCCCCACCCTCTGTGGGAAGAATTCCTTCCTGATATCCAATCTAAACCTCCCCACTTTCAATTTAAACCCGTTACCCCTTGTCCTGTCACTCCCTGCCCTTGGAAAAAGTCCCCCCCAGCTGCCTTGTAGGCCCTGCATAGCCTGATTCAAAACGCTTCCAGTGGAGTCAGATTATTATTAAAACTGATTTCAGGAGGATAATGGCATTACGCTCTGTTCTTGGGCAAGTTGCGGTGACTGGGGGCTCTGGGCCAAGTTTAAATACCCCTTAGAATCTTTAAAGGCACTAATGTGACCCATAGGGATGACTGTGTCAAAAGATGCCTTTTAGTGCTGTTGTGTGAACTTGGCGCAGGTGATTACAGCGAGCCTCTCTCACCCGAAGGCAGAAGGGTAGGAATCGGTGTCAGCGGTTTCGCTGCGACGTTTTTGGTAACTGTGTGTGCTACCTGTCTCAGCGACATCACCCTTGCTAACTCAGATCTGGCCTGTCCTCTGTCACAGGCTAGTCACGCGTGCGAAGATCTTCAGAAATGTCCCAAACGTTACCAAAAACTGGCTTCTTTCAGCGCTTTATGCAATCGAAGGTTTCGGTAACATCGGTTTCTTCGGCAGCAGTGGAGTGAGATGCGGGTTGTCCTGGGTGTCGAGGCAGTCCTGGGGAGGGCAGGAAGGTGTGACACACGTGCTCGTTTGTGTCCTGGATCTGGCCTGGTCTGCAGATGAAGGAAGAGGATCGCGGCGCAACACTTGAGCGTGCTAGCCCAACGCGAAACGCGTCCCAGCCCCTCCACACCCCCAGCGCGTGGGAGCGGCGACACCAGCTCGTGCGGAGTTTCTGCTGGTTTCCCATCTCCAGGGCAGGAGGCAGGTGAAGTGGAGGTGGCGGGGGACAGCTGTACGTTAAACTTCCCAAACCCAAACACGCACTTTATCCTTTTAAACTGCTGTGTAACACCTACCCTGGAGTTAGCTACTGAATTGTTCTCAATTTATAAAAGCTGAAATAGGATTAAAATGGCTGTTAAAAAAGGGAAATTAAGCTGCTTGATCTTTTCCAGACAGTTCAGAAATGCATACTTTTGTCTGAGGCTGTAGTGAAAACACTCAGTGCCTAACTTGGGAAAGGTCTTGGATACCAGCAGTAAGCTGCGGAGTACGGCTGAGTGACCCAGAGACTTGCTTGGGATAAATAAGATTTGCTTTCTGTGAGTGTCATTAGGGTTGGCTGGAAGGGATTGTCGTAGATGACTCAAAGCAGATGTTCTCCAGTTCACTTCCGAGTGAATTAGCCTGTGCCAGTCAATCTTCACGACGTGGGAATCGCACAGGATCACTTGAAATGAATCACAGAATGGTTTGGGTTGGAAGGGACCTCAAAGATCATCGAGTTCCACCCCCCTGCCATGGGCAGGGACACCTTCCACTAGACCAGGTTGCTCCAAGCCTCATCCAGCCTGGCCTTGGACACTTCCAGGGATGGGGCATCCACAGCTTCTCGGGGCAACCTGTCCCAGTGCCTCCCCACCCTCTCCGGGAAGAATTCCTTCCTGATCCCCAATCTCAATCTCCCTCTTTCTGTTTAAACCCGTTACCCCTGGTCCTGTCACTTACAGACATTTCTACAATGCCACAGAAATTATTCTTGGCCGTTTTCTGCGAGGTCCTGCTTCAAGTTCTTGTTTTGGGCTGGTAGCAACGGGTTGCAGCGTAAGTAGACAAAGGCAAACAGAAACTAAAAGGATGTGCAAGTTCCTGAGAGGCTGACTTACACAATTGCACTCTTAGCCGGTGGCCGAAGGGAGCAAGGTTGCCAAACTCCCCGTTCCCGCTACGCCTTATGGTACTTCACCTATCAGCTTGTAGCCAATAAGCACTTTTAATAGTAGCTTGCCTTAATAAATTACCGTTTCTGGTGCTGCTCAGAGTAGGATGATGTCCTGCTGGCTTTGTAACTTCAGTCTCATGTCCGTTATGTGGCAGTATATAAATTTAATTAAGGCAGTAGCAGATGCTGGGAGGTAAAGATACTGGTGTGCAATACTGATGCGCTGCCGTTACTGAAAGCGGTGTCTGCACGTTGAAGGGATGATGCTTGAGGCATTTCAGGGAGGTCACCCTGTTTTCATCATAGCTATAACACCAGAAACTGCGTAGTCTGTGTCATTTGGAAATAGGTGAATCTGATTTCTGCTACCGGTGTCGCGCAGTGGCAGTTTGGATGAGGCGATCAAAGCGTACACACAGCTACTGGGAAGGGTGGAGAAGCTGTCGAACCTTTCTGAACTTATTTTTTTTTTAAAGAATGATGCTTCCCTGCAGGTCAAAAAGAAGGGAAAAAGGAGAGGAGCTTCTTGCAGCTCTGAGCCTTCGCGCCCCTTGCAGCGATCGCTTCCGTGCGGCAGAATGCTTGCGTGGTTACAAGTGGGTGAAGAATGTGCGGTCGGGGTGCTTGTGTCTTGCCCGAGATGGAGCCAGCAGCGCAGCCCCAGCGGTGTAGGGCTGCTTTTGGTGTGGAATTGGCACCATGTGTCCCTCCAAGGAGGGAATGCAGGAACAGTCGGTCAGTCTTGGTGTAGACCTGGTCCTGACCTGGTCTCCGGTAGGTGGTTTAGCGTTCGGGGGCATCCGTGTAAGCTCACTGGGGTGTGTTGAAACAAAGGCAAAGCTGTCAGTGGAAATTCCCTGCCCAATTTCATCTTTCTGTAGGTGTGTAGATACACGAGCATATCACAGAGAGTGTATCACTTTCCCTGTCTTGACTTTTCGATAGACTAATGGTGCTTTTCTGCCGTCAGTTTGTCATTTAGATAATGAATATTTGGGGATTACCTGTAACTGCAAGCATAATTGCACCACTTATTGGTGTGTCTGATACAGAGCCTTTTTGTACCCTAGTAATTCGTAGCATAAAATGTGTGTTGGGAAGGAGAGTATCATGTTTTGCAAGTCTACAAACGTTTGTCTGGAAACTCCCAGAATCAAGCATTACCTCTTCTAAGTGCTCTGGTTCTAGCAACTGGCGGGGGGGGAAAAGCACCCTGGTGTTTTGTATTACTTAAACTGCGCTGCTGCATCAGCCTTCCTGGGCTCTGAGGGCAGCGTAAGGCTCAGAGCGTGGAAGAAAGGGCACTGAAGTGCCATGGTGAGAGCTGAAATATGTAAAAATACATGCTGTTGCTGTTGGAAAGCTTAAGTGGGGTTTTACCGGACCTGACCGGGTGACGGGGCAGGGGCACTGGTGGTTCAGTGGAGAAAAGGCCATGAGAAATTAATTCATCTTTGGTCTGACACTGGTTTTACAGCCGGTAAGTTATAATCATTCAAAGCCTATACAGACTTCAGAATTCAGTTTAGAAGTAAATCTAGAAATCAGCCGCAGTGTTTACTTGCCGACAGCTTTATCCGGGTATCTCCAGCGTGAAGCAATCCGTCTGTCGTGGAGAAGACGTGGTCTGCGCACGAGACTTTCTGAAAGGAAGAGGCTTCAGCTCCTGATTCTCCTCTTGTACCCTACAGAAGGGTAGAATTGACTGGAAAAGGGTAATTCATACAAACTTGGCAGGCTTAAAATGAAGAATCCTGCAGCGGAGTGTGGCTGGGGGAGGACTGCCTGACTGTGCTCCTGGTGAGCCTTCCGGGTAACGCGGGATCCCTGCGCTGCTCCTGCGCGAGGTTCCTCGCCGCTGCCGTTCGCGTCCAGTGGAGTCGCAAATGAAATAAAGCAATAAATGAAACCGTGATTCAAGTTTTCCTTTGCTTATCTCGTACCTACCTGCGAAGGTGAATTAACAACAGGCAGTGGCAGTCTGGATCTCCGCGGCCTGGCGTTTCTCGGCGGAATTGCTAAACCCCACTTTGCGTTCCCACGGCGCTCGCGCGTGCGGAACCAGGGCCATGAAGCCTGGCAGAAGCTGATGGGCGCGTGGTTGTGCGAGCAGAGTTCCTGAGTTGCTCCTGGCCATCCAGCCGGTCGGGAAGGCCGGGTCCGGCAGGCAGCTGGCTGCGGAGGGGCCCCGGGTGGGTGCAGGCCTGGCGCCGGGCGATGGGCTGAGGACATCTGCTGGGCACAGCCGCTGCTCGGCCGCCCACGGTGCAGGGACTTTGCACCCGCCTGCTGGCTCCAGGTGCGTGGCTGCAGGGAGCGTCGATGTTCTGAAGGGAAGTGCAGCGCGGTGCCTTGGGTGAACCGAAAGCAGAGCCTGAAGGAGTACATGCGAGATTTTTGACGGGGCTCGTTGCTTTCCTTGGGCTACTTGGCACCTGGATTTCTGGTCAGGCTGTGTTAGCCCGTACCTCGGCTGGGGTCTCGCAACTCTGGTTCGACTGCTAACGTTCCATGGAATCAGAGACTGCTTTCCTTTCCTTTCCTTCACTTTTGTCTGTTACAGCTCCTGCGGTTTCCAACTAGGTCAGTGAAGTGTCCTTGTCCCTGTTCCTTGAACAATCAGCTCCCTAAAGCCAGACAGTGTGAGAGTAATTTTGTGATTAATGCTTCCAGCGATTATAAAGTGGAAAGGCTTAAATTACCTTTGATAACTCAGACCTGTACATGAAACATGCAGTGACTTTGCCTTCCTTGTTGCAGATCCATAACATGGTGGCAGTGCTAGAAGTGATCTCCAGCCTGGAGAAATACCCCATTACCAAAGAGGCACTTGAGGTATGTCACCCCCTGAACATCACTTGATTTTTGTGTGTATAAAAGGACTTTCTCTGCCTGTCCGATTTCCATAAGAGCTTTTCTTGAAACAATAGATTGACTGCAAAGGATTCACAATTAAGATATTATTTTGTCCCTTCCATGCTGCTTCTGACATCTCCGTGCGTACACAGCGATTCTTTCTGGATTCACATCAGTATTCTGCACGGCATGGTTCCTCTTGGCGTGGGGCATGGAATTCGTTGCTGCGTGAATTCAGCAGCATCACTCTGCTTGCTGAAGTACCGGTCGCTTTTCGAGCGGTTGGGTGACCAGGCACCAAAGAATCTGAAATAGGAGGATAGTTACTCTGTGTCTATCAAATGAATCTTCAATTCAGTTAAGCAGGTTGGAGTGCCGGATCTGGTTGGTGAGGTCAGGTTTATGGAAAGTGGAAGCATCAGGTGGGATGGCAGCAACTGGGCTTTCTTAGAAACAGAGCCCAAAGAAGTGTTTATGGCTAAATTACAAAACTTTTTTCCATCTTTAAATTATTGGTGTTACTTGCTTTTACCTATTGCTTAACTGTAACTCCAGCTGCATTTCGACAGTACGTATCCCAGCCTGTTGCGTACTTCTCTCACAGTCCCATCTGTGTTTTCCTTGGAAGTGCTTTTCTTCAGCGATCTGACTTGCGGAACAATTCTTTGTTTTCAAACGTGCTCTGGGAACAATCAAACGCCTCGCTTCCTTCCGCTTGTGAAACCACTTTGGGACACCCTAGGAATGCTTGTTCAAATCGGTCTGTGACACCCTTTTGAGAGCCGGGGGGGTGAAGGGAGAGATGGAGGAAGGAGGTGGGATGTGAGGTCGCTCCCCGGCCAGTCACGTTTGTGCAGCGGGCATTGGCAGCGTATCACTGCAACAGGCGGAGGGTCTGGAACTTTTTCTCTCACCTCTTCCTGCAGATCTTACACTTCCAGCGCGATAAACACGCACCTTGTCTGCCTCGGGTGCCGTGTTTCCCCTCGAATCTGAGCCTGCACCTTGATTCTCAAGAGTCTTGCCGATTCGAGTGTTCCTTTCCGATGCTTTTCCCAGCTGACGGCTCTGGTGCTTTCGCCAGGGTGACTTGAAACCTACAGCAGGTTTCGTGCTGCGTGGCAAAGCACTCGACCAACTGGACTAATCCTTCCCAAACAGATGAATTCAACGCTTAAATCTTGAGTGTTTTTTAACTGGGTATTTCTTAGGGTAAGCATTCCAGAGCAGAAATCTACCTTAAGAGTGTTAGTGACCCCTGTTCCTAAAACAACTTCCCTTTCTTTTATAGGAAACGAGACTCGGGAGACTTATCAATGAGGTGAGGAAGAAGACATCCAACGAGGAACTTGCCAAACGTGCCAAGAAATTGTTGCGGAATTGGCAAAAGTTGATAGAGCCTGTGACCCAGAATGAACCGGTGCCAAGAGGGCTGCCGAATCCACCCGGATCAGCAAACGGTGGTGCTCACAACTGCAAAGCAGAAGCGCAACTTCCTGCTGTGGCTGGGTCAAAGCCCATTAGGAATGATATACAGAAACTAAATTCTCCAAAAGCAGAGAAATTGGGAAATCGGAAAAGGAAAGGTGAACACAGGGACGGGCATCAGGGCCCTCCTCCCCCAAAAGTCTCCAAAGCTAGTCATGAAGTATTACAAAACTCTTCATCCCCTCCAACAAATGGAATTGGAGGTAGTCCTGAAAATTTTCCTAGTCCTGTAGACGTAAATCTACACGCAGGGCCTGAAAGCAGCAGGACAGAACTCAGTGAAAACGATAAACACAGTAAGATCCCAGTAAACGCTGTAAAACCTCACACCAGTTCTCCAGGACTTGTAAAACCTTCAAGCACTTCCTCGTTATTAAAGACTGCGGTGCTTCAGCAGCATGATAAATCGGAAGAAACCACAGGACCCCACCAACCTAAGAGTCCTCGCTGTTCCTCGTTTAGCCCTAGGAATGTTAGGCACGACACTTTTGCTCGGCAGCATACTACGTACTCACCAAAGGATTCGATGCCTAGTCCGTCTCAAAGGTCTCAGTTCTTAGATACTGCACAGGTGCCATCGCCGCCACCATCCTTGATGCAACCCTCGACACCTCCGATGCCAGCAAAAAGACTGGAGTTCGCTCAGCAGTCGGTAGCTGAGGTGGCTCAGCACTGGCAGGAGCAGCAGGTACCTTCGGAAAGCCAGCACAGGCACACAGCAGGGACCCTTCAACAGCACACATCTCCCGGCTGCAAAACCAGCTCCCACCCTGGGGAATCTCTCGCGCCACACGTGGGCTTTTCGCAGGACGCTTCGAAAATGGACAGCGATGATGCTGCTTCAGGTTCCGATAGTAAAAAGAAGAAAAGGTACCGACCCAGAGACTACACGGTCAACTTGGATGGGCATGTGACAGAAGGGGGTGTGAAACCAGTGAGGTTAAAAGAGCGAAAACTCACTTTTGATCCCATGACAGGACAAATAAAACCTTTAACACAGAAAGATCCTTTGCAGGTAGAAATCCCTGCACTGACTGAACAGCACAGGACAGAAACGGAAAAGCAGGAGCAAAAACCCAACCTGCAAAGCCCTTTTGAACAAACGAACTGGAAAGAATTGTCCCGGAATGAAATCATTCAGTCGTATTTAAACAGACAGAGTAGCTTGCTGTCTTCCTCGGGAGTACAGACTCCAGGAGCTCACTACTTCATGTCTGAATATTTAAAGCAGGAGGAAAGCACTAGAAAAGAGGCTAGAAAGACTCATGTTCTAGCTCCTAACAGCAAACCTACAGACTTGCCCGGGGTCACGAGAGAGGTCACGAGCGATGACCTCAACAGAATACGCGAACATAACTGGCCGGGCGTGAACGGTTGTTACGATACACAGGGTAACTGGTATGATTGGACACAGTGCATATCTCTAGATCCACACGGGGATGACGGTAGATTGAACATCCTGCCTTACGTCTGCCTAGACTGAGTACAGTTTTGCTGAAAATGCTTTTTACATCTGCAGTTAGCAAAGTTGGCAGACACCATGCCACTTCCAGATGGAGAAAGCCTCCTGTCCTGGACAAACAGCCCCAACGAGCAGAGGGTGGGAGGGAGCTGGTTCTTTACAGCTCTTTCCTTTAAATTCTCCTTTTGTGAAATGCTGCTACCAGTTTACTAACAATTGCAAAGGAAGGCATACGAAGGTTGATAAGTTGAGTTCAAAACTCTCTAGCGAGCCAGCTATAAAAAAGTGTTAGTCCCCAAGAAGTGAAGAGGATTTCCAGCACTTTCTGAATGCCGGAATCTTATTACAGGCAGGTACAGAGAAAATTGTGGAAGTTACCTTAACAAAATATGCATCTATTTATTTGACTTGATTTGGGTTTTTATTTGGCAGTGAGATATTCGAGAGACAATGTGCAAAAACTGTAGTTTCATTTCTGTCACATCTCTGAACATGATTGCGTTGTTTTTTTTGAAGTCATGTGGTACGGAGATTGGGGTTTAAACGGCAGGTGTTGCACTGCAGGCTGGGAGACCGGCTTCAGCTCAACATTCCATAGGCATCCACATATTTTAGTCTGGTTTCGGTTTAAATCCAGTCTCTGAGAAATGCTGCAAAAACTAGATGTTTAACGATATTTTTGATCCCACCACCACCAGCCAAATATTTTTCCTCCTTTTCCCTTCCTGCAAACTTCTAGGAAAAACATAAAAAAAGACAAAATCACCTTTTCTAGAATCTAAATGTAATGAGGGTGCTACAAGTTTGTAACTGTACTGTGAGAGGGAAAAAGGAAGCCTGTTTGTATGCTGGAAATATACTTGTTACCATTCCTTTAGATATTGTTTGCCTTATGGATATCCATCATAAACGCAATTTGCAAAAACAAAGAGCCTTAGTGAATGTACAGTAACTAGACTTCTGTGTTCTTGGGATGCAGAAGGGAGCAACTTTGCTATTTGGTCCTTTAAGTGGACACATTGTGATATAAATGTGGAAATAAAAAAATTTGCACAAACCAGTTTGTGGATGATTTATACTGAACTCCTGTTTGTTTAAAGTTTGCTCAGTTCAGACCAGCTAAGTGACCCTCGACACCGAGAGTCCGTCGGAGTGGTGTGGTGAAGCCGAATCCCATCCGACGCTGCCCAGAGCAGCTGGCCGTTAGGGATGTACGAGATGTCTTCCAAGTGTGTTGGTGTTCAGTCGCACAGGTTGGATTTGCTTTAACTCTGGTTGCATCCAGGGTCCGGAGACTGATAACCCAGTTGCTGTTAATGTACCTCAAAGTCTCACGGCTCATCTCTTTTCTTGTAATGGTGTTATTCCTGGTTGTTAAAAGGCTTCCTGGCGCAGCCTGGTTCAGTGTGGAAATAGAGGAATTTCTAGTAACTGTAATTGCATTAACATTTGGGGGTCGTTTTCTGCAGCCCCCAGTGCTGGGCTTCCGCCCAGGGGAGAAGGAAAGGGAACACCATAAAAAAGTATTTCTAGGTTTAGTGATGTTAACTCCGTTGACCCGTTTGTGCTGGATCTTGCCTCTGCAGAGAAGAGCCTGGGCAAGAGTGCTCCTGCCCTTGAGAGCAGAGTCAAGCTCTTAGTGATTCCCTAAGGCTGTTCCCAGCCAGGTGTCTGCTGAGTTGGTTCATTCCATGGAATACAGCTGATGAGGTTTGGTTTATTTTAAAGTTGTTCAAACCTACTGCTTTTGTGATCCGGCCGGTGTTGGCGTGCGGTGTCTCAGAAATCTTAACTGACGTCTGGTTACATTCAGTTCTGAAATCTGGGGTCTGAGAGCGAAACCAGAAAAGGCGCTTACCAAAACATGTTTCCAAGTATATTTTCAGTTTACTTCCATTTTGTCCTCCTGCAGTTGATGAGGTCAAGCAGTGGGTTTGAGAGTTGGGAAAGTTACAGTCTTGCAATTCAGAAAGGTAGATTTGATGGTAGAGGGCTAAAAAGCTGGTCATTTTGGAAAATGCTTGGATTTTTGTTTATGTAAAAAAATACTGTGCATCTTCTCTCCCCCACCCCTTCTCCATTTTTCACTGAATGGTCTTATCTAGGAACAGAGTCCGTGCTCTTGTAGGCCTTTGAACATAGGGCGAATGTCAGGAAATGACCAAGGATCCATAAACCCCATCTTTTTCTCCACGACTTACATTTCTGATACAATCAATGGCCCTTGTGGACCGCGGTGAGGCGAGGCCCTAAGTTCATTGCTGCTTTCAGACCGCATCCAGCCCTCGGTAGCGAGCCGGCGGTGCCGACGCGCGCTTTGCCTGAGGGGCGTCGGGAGGAGAGCAGCCCTCGCCGTGCAGAGTCACGACGGGAACTCGCCCGCAAGGCAAGCTTTAAACTTGTTCTGTACCCAGGTGGTTGCTGCTGTGAGGGGCAACTCGCTTGGATGTCACCCAGGGTGAGACGAGGCTTGACAATCTTTGTTTCAGCATGCTAGTATAACCAGTTCTGTGAGCTCCAACAAATGTGAATCGGTTTACAAGTTGATATTTTTTTTTGTCGATTTTGTAAACAAGTTCAAATGAAGTTTACCGTGTGCGTATCTGCTGTGTACTCTCATTTTTGTATAAACTCAGTTTCTCTGCTGCTGGGTTCTCCCAGCCGCCTTACAGGTTCTATTTACTCCTGACATCCTAACGTACTGCCACCTCTGCCTTGTCAAGGGCTGACATGAAACGGCTCATTTTCAAGTTTCTGGGGAACGGCCATTACCTAAAGTGCATGTTTTTATAGGTACGGTAACGATGTAGAAATCCTACGTCACGGCGTGCCTGGATGAAGTAGGCTGCGGCCCTTCCCCCAGCTTGATGGGCACTCGCCCAGCTTTTAACGCAGCCAGTGTGACGTGTTCCCGGAGCTAAAGGTCGGGAACGACTGTCCGGGCGCCTTTGGGCGCGTGACCTCTGCTCAGCCGCTGGGCT